TTTCTCTCTTCTCTTCCTCTTACCATCAAATTAACTTGCATGAGTGAAGCAGGAGGTAATGGTGAACCTAGTCCTTTCCTAAACAACTGAATACAATGAACATCTACTGAGTTTAACTGATCCAATACAGCACAAGACTCAAGAAGACTGGCAACACTAAAATTAATATAACAGTAATACTTTCATATGAAATAATACTTGTTGCTTGGTTCATATTCTGCTAAGGTGATTTTCTTTAGTAGCGACCAGCTAACAGCAAGCTTTGGGACAGACCAGTCAGGAGTGTGACAAGTGAATACAAATAACCTCAAACAATCAATAGCTCTATTTGACTATAGGGAGGTAAAAATGTAAAAAAAATCATTACAAATTAATCATTTTACCAGTATTTTTTTATTATACTGCAATTCAGTCAAAAACGTATCTAAAAACTCTTTTAGTTTCACTATAGTCTTTCTATCAATCACAGAACCACCTGATTGACATAAAACAAGTGAAACAACCAACATTATTAGACCTTACTTGATACTGAGCTCCTGTTAACTGATTGAAACAGACTAGGAGCAGTAGACCATTCATTATTCATGCAAATACTCAATCTTTTATGAGTATAATACAATAACTTGGAATCAACAACGCCATCAAAACTACAATAAAAGAATTAATATAATATTCTAAATTTTAACAGCTCACTAATCTGTTTCTTCATTTGGTTGTACTCCATGTAGTGCCTCATTAATTTTATAATTAAAATGAGATTGATAGTCTCTACCTAAGTATGGTAACACAATAATCATTACATCACCGTAATTCATTACCTAATATAAACATTAAATGTAATAAGATTCTTCTAGTTGCACTTTTAAAGTCATCATCGGAGAGTACATCTGCTGTTGCCATGACAACACACTGAAGTAAAGGGGTGTGGCTAATATTATTGGCCAATTGAATGAGAGCATTGTAACGTGGTAGTACATCAGACACAGACGACAAATCAATGAATAGCCTTAAACGAGCTTGCAATGATAATAAATCCTAAAAATAAAAATTGATTGATTTACGATGATTTGATAGATAGGCTACATAGATTATGCAGGCACAGATTAAAATTACTAATACTAACATTATATATAGACTTACGTTAATGGTGGTATGTCTTGTATTAAGAGAATTAATGAATTGTATGAGGATGTAGTGAAGATCTCTTTTAACTAGTGCAGTGACTGGATCTAACATTAGGCACTTAACACTCATTGAGTAAGAGAGAGAAGATAAATCATAATGAAGAGACTCAACATCCTATTAAAAGATAAGCAATAAGTAAAGCATAATAGAAAAAAAAGGGAGAGAAAGTAAAAGAAGTTTAAACCTGTGGTAATATTGAGATTTCTATTCCTCTGTTCCTCATTGCTCTTGATATTTCACCATGGACAGGATCCATTGTCAAAAACAACCTATAAAAAACGATATAAAAACACTCTTTATCAACTACTCTTAGACTCTCTTACCTGAAGTCTTTATGTGGTTTAACAGTTGGTACAGTGCCATCAATAACTCCTCTCTCATCAATAGACAATGCTCCATTAGGCTCCAGTAATGGATTCAATCTATCCAACACTGATGGGCTAAAAAAATTAATAAAAAACTACTAAATAAATTTTTAAGTTGCTAAAAAATTTGGCCAATTAGTATCAGCAACAGGATTTAAATGTGATGCTATAATAACATTAAAAAATTCAAGTAATAGCAACTTAATGTAAGTGGGCCTGAACCTATCTTTACCTGCAGAAG